ATCTACATTCAAAGTTATCGATCATATTTTATTCTGTAGTCCTAGTGATCTGGCTAGGCTACCTAAACAATTGCCTCATTTCTTAATTATATCGACTCGATATCGTTAACTAGAAATTAGAAACTCAATAGAGTTTACCATAAGTAGTTTCATATTTAGAGGTTTACTTACTTCAGATTTGGCATAACCAACTTTCATTACTCGATAAGAAAGCTAAAATATCGTACCTGAAGATCAAAGATGGCAACCGAACTTCCAACCAGTCAATTTCTATTTTTGTTTTCGTCCTGCTGCTAGGTCATTCATTTTAATGATGTAATGCATGACGATTGATATCCATATTGATCTACCGGTGTAGATAATTCCTCACATGAATTTGAAATGTTACAAATATATGTACAATAAGTTACAATAAGTACGAAGGGTTTTGGAACTTATGTCCAATCCCTTTGACATATTAACAACTAGAGGTACTGTGAGCAATGAGCTTACTAAATTATACCCCCGCCTCCCATATGAATAAAATGGCAGTGTCCATGTTTTGCTCTTGAAAATCCAAAATATATGTCAGATCAAAAAGTAAAATAGGAGGTGCACAAGGGCAATGTGTAATAAAGATTCTGTGAAATTTTCATTAAATTTCACTCAGTGGTATAAGAGGAGTTGCGGATAAGAGATGGGTAACCGAAAGCGTAACAGACGGACGGACGGACGGACAGACAGACGTACAGACGGACAGACAGACGTACAGAGGGACGGAAGTAACGATTACTATATACCCTCCCGCTTTTTAAGCGGGGTGGGGGGGGGTATAATAAAATATGTCAAAAAAAAATTACTTTTGTACAGAAATGAAATATAATTATACTAAATATAGGGTTAATTTTGCCCGGTGTTTTTTTTGCCCTTTCAGGCTATTTTGCCCGTATTAAATTCGCCCAGTCATTATTCTTTTTGAGAAATTTGTACTGTTATCTTCGAATTCGCCCCGTTTTGAATTAGCTCGAATGATATTAGGGCGAAATTGGCGAAAATTTCCCCATATACATAATAATAATTGTCTGTTTGTTCAACTAATATTCATCTAACGTAATTGTCATAAAACCATTCAAACCACTCAATAATCTATCTGATTTGTTTTCTAACATTTAATGCAACTGATTTTTTCAGCTGCTGTCTATAAGTGAGGGATCATATTGCATTTATCTCACGACAATTTGTCTTTCTTGCAATTCTATCCCTATACATGATTGATTTCTTATTGCCTTGATTAAAAATAAAAGTTTTCGTGTTTATTTAGGGTAAAAGTATTTGTACACAAAAGAGAAGAAAACTTAAATTAGATTAAATGTAATCCAAAACCTTAAGCTTAATAGATCAATCAAGTTAGCATCCCCTTTTCATATTCATTGTGTATATCTGGGTATTAATGTGTTAACAACTTCAAACAATTTAAAGCAGGTTTTCACGTAATTAATGTATTATCTGTATTTCCCAAACATTATATAATATTAAGATTGCACAGTAACACCTATAAGTCAACAAACAGTACCAGATATATTAAAAAATCACAATAGATCTACAGAACTTCACTGAATCTAAAATTTAGTTATTCAAAGGGATGTAATCGTCATTTATATATATTGTTCCTCATTATTTGCTTTTCAATCAAAAGAGTTTTGTTTTGGTATTTTAAACAATTTTTTTTCTGCTTTTGAAAACTGACAGATCTATATTTTTTTTAAACAGCGGTTTTATCCTCTTAAAAGATGCTATTTCTTTTTTTGTTGTTGTATACATTGTATTTACATGTATACAAAGTATTATTATTTACCACATTCCATGTACATACACTAAGATAAAATTTTACCCATTATATATATTTTGCTATGCAGACCATCCATTTATTTCAATCAGCTGTTCTGTTGAGTGTTAAATAGAATACCTTTAATTTTATATGTTTTCCTCCGAGATTTTATATTCATAATTCTATCAAAAATTCATTAAAGAAAACAAATTGCTTCATCTTTACTTTTTGTGAGTTACAAATGAAGGTCAGTTCCACTATTACAAGTCTACGTTTACAAGTGCAGCTTAGTTCTCAGGCATGTAGAAGTTTTGTTGTCATGAAATATTTTATCAATTTTTCATTTTCATGAAACACTAGAAACTTTCCTGTGTATTATGCAGAAAATAATGCTTTGACAGGAATTTTTTCAAGTCATAAACACTCTTATTACCAGTGTTAAATGTGAAAATATTTATAGATACATGTACAAGCACGATTATTCACCCCTCACCATTGCATTATCTAAGGAGTCTTGTTTTTCCCCTCTGTTAATCTTGATTTTAATCATTAATATTAGATACTGGAACATAATGAATCTATGAACGCAAGCTTTCTCATAATCAGGTGAATGATTGATCTTCGGTCGCTTGTCTATGTCGGTGTGTGCCATTTTCTGGTTCTTATAATGAAGTTTAAGCTGAAAGTGCTGCTACTTCCCCTCTAAGGGTGCCTTTGCTCAATCTTATAATGGCCTGAAAGAACATTATGAGTTTTTTGAATAAATATTTTTTGACGTGAATATTCATGAACTTACATGTACTAAGCAACACATGAAAATTTGTACACAAGGAATATATTCTTTTCTCTCAAAAGTATAGTATTCAAGGGCTTTTTTCTCATTTTTTTTTTAATTTCTTGAAAGTGACTTGAACTCAATTATTGAACCATAAAATGTTTTATGATTTAATATGATTATAAAGACTTTGATCAACAATAATCGGCGGAATTATTTGTAAAATACTACCTTAAATTTCTTTGTCCAGAAAAAAATACTGTTTTACCTTTAAGTCGGACACGGAGGTTTGGATCAAAATTTGACACCCCCAAAACCGACTTATAGGCGAGTATATACGGTACATGACTGTATATATATTTTTGTACCTGTTTAAGATCCTCCCACTTTAAGTTGAAATCATCCATCTCATTTTCAAACTCTATCATCTGACTCAGATAATTTCTGTGAATTCTCATTCTCTCTACATCGTCCCCATTTCGTTTGTGACCAATGTTTGGTTCGTTGCCCCATCCATTGCTTGGAGGATTGACATTATCTGCATAATTTCTTAACAAGTTGTACATTGTTGATATTTCGAACTCACAAGAATTTGCAGGCTTTCCTCCTGCAAGGAAAGGGATAGTCAATTTTATGGTTTTAGTTTTGTTTGAAAAGAAAACCAGAGGTCCATGGGCCACAACGCTCACCTGCTTTTTGCACCTTTTATAATAGTATTAATTATTGTGGTCCACCATGCATTTTTACTCAAGGGGTTATACAATGTACATGTACTTGAAGAACATTAGAACCTACACTACGTAATAGAGTTTCCATATAAACTTCAGTTTTTATATGGTTATTGGAAAGAAGAATTATAAACATTTTCTCTACATATTTCATTATTAAATTTTTATTCCTTATTGTGACCCCACCCCATCCTTTGGAAACATAATGTGAACTAATAACCCTACATGCATGTATCTCAGATAGCCTCCACATAAGTTTCAACTTTTTTGGTCATGTGGTTCCTGAGAAGAGTTTTTAATGCCTTCATGTTAATTTTTGTCTTCTTTTGTATCTTCGTTTGGAAAGGGCCTTGGTCCATTATTTCAACAAATCAAAATAACTTATAAAATTTTTAATGTTCTCTGCGATTACCGGTATATAATCAAAGGTATTATATAAGAAAAAATACAGAAATCTTAAAAAATTCTAAAACCACTAGGTCAGAAAAGATAACATTTTCGTAAATACTTTATTAAATCGTTTAGATGTAAATGTACTCAAATTATGAACCTTAAGGCACCGCAATTATCGAACGAAGTTTAACATAAAGTTATCGAACAAAGTTTAAAATATAAATTTATTAGAAAAAAAATTCATAAGATCTACTTGGCAAGAGGAGTTTAAACTTATTACACAACTTCAATTTAAAGTGTAGATTCAAATTTATTCAAATAATAATAATCCCAATACTGGGCGGTCTCAGTTTAACATAGAAATATACAGGGAAAATCTTCTCTAATATAACAAAAACAATAAATGTCATCATGTCATATCGACACGGAAGCATCCTCATGCATCATCATGCGGGTAATGCAGATTCAGGTCTGTTCAATCTATGACACTTGCGGCACAATAGGCTATCAAAGTTTAACGTAGAAATATACAGGTACATGTATATGTATAATCAATGTGAGGAAAAGAAGGGTCATGTAATGACTCAGGTGAGCGTTGTGGCACAACAGCCTCTTGTTTCAATTACAACTTTACTGACCTGGATAAAGAACAGGTATCTGGTCTTTCTGTATTTTTTTTCTCCATTCAAAATGAGGTATTTTTTGTCGGCCAACATGTTTTGCAGTTCATGTCCAGGGAAGATTTCATCGAAAAATATTTGAAGGGAATGTCGGGAGAGTCTTACGAGCTTTAGGAATCGCATCAAACGCTTTTCATTATCTGAAAAAAAAATTAATGCAAAAATGTAAAAAAAAAATATAATAACGAGACGATGCATTTTATGTAAAGGACTGCAAACGATATTATTGTTTTGCCGTACACTACCAAGTTATTTTTCATAAATCAACATATTTGAATAAATTTCATAATTTCATAGAGACAACGCAGTTGAAAAATTGCAAAGAAGGATAACTATAATGTTTTTTACGATAAAATCAGTGAAAAACTGACAATTTCTTGTAACATACAGATATTGACTGGATATAATGGTTACCTATGATTTGTGGAACCTGAACGTGAAAATGTCTCCGAGGCTGCAGGACAAGGGCAACATTTTTAACTTCAGGTCAAACAAATCATATATGGCCCAAATATCCAGTATATTGTCTTCGCCCTCGAAGACACAGCCCAAGTTCTGATCATAAGCCCCATATTGGACTTTCACCTTCAAGTCCAGGGGTGTTCATCGTGCCCAAAGCTGTAGCAGGAGGGGAGACAATGTTTGACCTTTCTTCAGAAGCAGACGACAAATCTTCACTCTGGACTTGTTGTGTTTGTTGCGATGCTGAAGAGCTGGAATAAAGCGGTGGTTCTTCCCCGAACACTATGGCCAGGGTTTTATTAAACCAAGAAGGTCCGAATGTGGCTGAAAGATATATACATGTAATATATATATAATTTTTTAACAAATCCATTTGATTTTTTTTATATTAAGAAGTAGAAATATCATTGATATATTGTGTAAAACTGGAGCAAATCATTGTTAGATCCAATTAAAGAAATTTATTTGCATTCTTGTTTTTTGAATTTCTTGAGGTGTCTTAGTATACATTTCATAAGGGTGTTTCTTTCCGTATTACATGAGATGTATAGCGTCTTTGGATGCTGATGACTGTTAATCACTATATTAACGCGACACCTTCTTTTCGTGAGATACCTTTTTGGAATTTATATGCAAGACAACATATGTGCGAGCTAAGGATTTTATATATAATATTTTGGTAGATGATTGACATTATGGAGACTGATTCTGATATGTTTGAGGTATCTCCATATCTAAGATTCCCTGGATACAAATACAAGCGACACAGACAACTCTTCGGTGGACTTTGATGTCACAGACTTTAGACAAAAAAGACCTGAGAGATATGTTTCAGTCGTCAGCAAAGGAGATATAAAGAAGAATAGAATTTGAAAAAATCAAAATGCTATAAAAGACGCGAGGAACATTACACAAGAAGAGTGAAATAAGGAGCGTGTGTTGCATTTCATTTTTTGGATGCTTCAATTGAGAGTGATTGGATTTACCATTATGAAGGGACACAAAAAAGGAAGGAAAGTACACATATTTTAGAGCACTTTATTAAACAGAGTATGTTTTCCATAATTGCAATTTTTTGTTTGGATTGAAATAACATTAAGATTCAGCTAGTGGCGAATAAGTTCTAATTAAAGGTGATTGAGAAAAAAATGATATTAATATTCACAATTAAATAAGTCCAAAATTCCTAACAAGGAAAACAATCAGCATTTACTTTGTGTGGAGACCGATTCTTCTGATTAGACCGTATAAACTGAGGTTCTGTGTCGCAGTAGATGCTGGAGAGATCCCTCACTGCTCAATGACCCGGAGTCACAGTTTGCAGTTCTCCAACGGCAAATGGGGGAAAATTCCCGAGAGGGACGTTAAGCAATAAACAATCAATCTTAACAGTAGTCTAAAGAAAACATCGCTATCGTGTCACAATACATGTTGTTTTATACCGGTATGTAGCATTTCAGTAAGTATTATTTAGAGAATGTGGCGGTATCTGTATCGTATATGTAGATATAAATTTGTGGATTGACAAGCAACTAACACGAGTCTCGGCCCCCTTAGATTTGAAAAAAAAAATCGATACAGAACCTGTCGATTTGTTTGTGACCCAATCAATAAAAATGAACTCCTGCCAGTTTTAGTTGTGCTGCATCTGCAGTCGAACAACCTAAGAATCCGTCAACAATGTATAGTTTTACAATCGGATATACTTCATTGACTTGAAATCAAAATTCATAGATAAAGGTGTGGACTGTCTACATCGCCTGTTTTTATATTCAGGTTAACTGATATATCAAACCTCCTAAAATGATATGAGGATCAACCTCAATAACCTTATCTATAAAAAATAAGTCATTTACAACTACCCATTGGTCAAAACTATTCTGATTGAACCTTAACCTGAGGATGCTAAAAGTGGGAGGTGATCAGTTTGATTGATCAAGTCGAAAATTATTTGGAGAACTTGATAGGCCCTTTATCGTAGATAAAAATTTAGGGGGCGGAGACTCGTGCCTCTTCTGTTGTTACTTACGTATCTCCAGACCCTAAGATAGGGTATGTCAACATTCCCATCTGAGTGGACATTGTTATTGGCTTTTATGTACATGTTCCTGGTTGGTTTTACATAAACCATTGGCGAGTTATAGGGATATGTGTCCAGTAACCACACGATGATTGGAATGTTGTACTCATCTCCTAAAAAGGTCGAGGGAAATGCTAAAACGCACAGAATTAACATGCAACAAGTAGACGTCAACGATTAAAATTAAACGATGTATTTATGAATATTTTAAAATTGAATGAAGTAGAAGAAGGATAATGCTACATATTTACAGAAAAAAATGATGATTATTCTTTTTAAAGAAAAAAAAAACTTGAAATGTCTATGATCTATACCCTCGTATTTTACTGGAATAGTGCCGTTTAGATTCAACAGATTCTTCGTTGTACCGTCTCCAAAATCTGCATGAAGAAAAACGATGTCAAATTACATTTATAGTTCTCATGAAAACAACACAATCATCGTATAAGAAAAAAACAATATAAAAATAATAACTTTACATTTAATCAATTTTAATCTCTCGATCTTTCTTTGTCTCACTTTTTCTGTCTGTTTATTTCTTTTTCTTTCATTCTCTGCCTGTATCTCTCTCTGTCTTAATGTCTCTCTCCGTGTGTCTCTGTCTCTCTCCTTGTCTGTCTGTCTTTCTCTCCGTCTCTCTGTCTGTTTCTCTCTCTCCTACTGTCTGTCTGTTTCTCTCTCTCCGCGTCTGTCGATCTGTCTCTCCCTTCCCGTCTGTCTGTCTGTTTTTCTCTCTCCCTGTCTGTCTGTTTCTCTCCCTGTCTGCCTGTCTGTTTCTTTGTCTGTCTGTCTGTCTGTCTGTTTCTCTCTCTGTCTGTCTGTTTCTCTGTCTGTCTTTCTCCCCGTCTTCTTGTCCGTCTTTATCGTTCTTTCCTTCTCTCTATCTATCCTGTTCTCCCCGTTTTACTTACAATATTTCTCTAGTTCAGGCCTCAGGTCTTTATATTGACTAAGAGCGTTCATGATATCTCTTTTGGTAATGTCTGCATACTTGTACTAAAGAATAAGTAAAGAATGCAATGACAAAATAATTTCAATGTATCAATCTATACGAGTTACATGTATACCTTTAACTTTATCATTTTGAACTCTATATCTTATCCAGAACTTGAACTTATTTCCTCAAAGGAGACAAAATAAAATATATTACATTATATTTGATATTATCAAAATACTACAATGACATACAGGGAAACTCTACCAAGATACTGTAAATCACGTTTTATTCGCGAGAACTTTATTTTCGCGTAATTACGCGAGACAATGAGGTCGCGAAAATTTCATTCTCGCGTTTAAAAGTATTCCTTACAATTATATAGAGGAAAAACATAATTCGTGAAAATTATGTCTCGCTAATAAAGAGTCAATGATTATCTCGCGAAAATAAGGTGTCGCGAAAATTTAGTGATCTACAGTATCGTTATGCCATTTGGCACCTCACCGATATATAATTTTTTAATTTCATTTAAAAAAAATTCCAAGATCAAATATTTCAACTTATAATGGTTGGTAAAAGCTGGGGGTAATTGTTTTAATTTACTTTCTCATTACCGAATCACTATGATTTCTTAATTCTTTTTTATGGTCCCTGAGACTTTTCTCCATATATTTTTTCACAATTGCTTGTCCATTTTAAAAAAAAAAAACATGCATCACAGAGTTTCTAATGACATCTTGACATATTTAATGTTATCAAAATACAATATGGATATTATTAAAATATTATCCTTCCTGATAATTTACTTTTGTTTCTCACACGTCGTTTGATTGCATAAAAAATAATTTATATCGTACAACACGATAGCCAAGCTCAAGCTGACTTGCGTCGAAAATGTACCGGGGTATTAATCTAAAAGCATTACATTTAACATATACAGCTCGAATAATTTTTTTAAAGAGAAAATTTCTTATTTTTTACGCAAACCAATTGATAAAGGGTAAACTGTCCAAGCCCAGGTTTTAGATTATAGCTTGTATAGGTATGGAATTACACAGTAATCCAATACTGATATAATGAGTATATCTAAATGATGTTAAAATTTCAGATCAATAAAAATATCACTTATACTTTAAGTGCACTCAGGTTTTTGCAGAATGCCAATCAAATAACCCCTCGTTCTTTATATTCAACACTTAAAACCAATAGATCTAGAAGTGTTTGATATTTTACCTGACTTAACGCTTGTGTAGTTTCATTGGTTTTAGAGCTTCCAGCCATCCCCTTCCTGTTATTCTGAATAAGTTTTATATCTTAATTAGACACTGTATACGTTGAACATTAAGTTTTTGATTGCGATTCTACAATTTACAACCAGGAAGATTTCTTTTGATTTGTGAGACAATAGAAGTTTAACATAGTAGTATTGTTCTCATCTAACTCGTACCTTTAAACATGTTGTTTTTAATTACGTATATTTATATCTTTCAGTCCGTCTTGCAACTATCTATACAGTCTATGAGCCATATTCACAGAAGGCTTTAAAAATCTTTTAAAACTTTAAAAAAGTACACACGTGTTCTATTCCGATAACCTCGAAGCTCTGACTTCCCAAATGCCTTAGGAATGAACTTTAAGAAATTTTTACAGTTACATTTTTTCTGTAAAACAATCAGTCTGCAAAATGTTTGCTTGAGTATAATATTCAGATTGAAATTCTATGCTTTTGAAGAATTAAGTATTTACATTTCTGCATTTTAAAAGTGACAAATGTATTCATTTTTGATGCCTTTTTGCAATATCGTTATTATAAAAACGAATTTACAATCACATTAATGTGACAGAAGCATGTGCATGGTCAGTAAGAAAAAACAAAAAATATTGCTTGTAAACAATTCCAAATAAATATTTGTTTTTTGTTCATTATAAACCTTTGAAATAATTACTTAATTAAGATTACTGTAATTTAAAACAAAATAAAGATTTTAATGGGATTATAGGTTAAATTCAACATGTTATAGTGGGTTACATTTCTTTAAGTCTAATGGACAGCCGGCTTTCCATAGTTTTTTTTGTTTTGTTAGGCACAAACATGGCATATCGTAATTAAAATTAGGATAAACGTTTTGGAGTGTTTTCGTTGAATCAGATTAACTTAAGAAAGTATTCTCATTAAGGTAGGGTTCTTCTCTGGTTTCTGATTAGATGAAATATTCAAAGTATATTTTGCTAATACATATTATATATTTCGGTGTAAGGGATTTAAAAAACCATATTGTTCTTTTCTTATCACAACTGTACAACTTTTACTAAGAATTGTAAACTGCGTTTGAAAACTAGCGAGGGCTACATTTTTGGCGGAATGGTGACGTAAGAAAATATCTAGTTTTACGTCTCTCGAAATTGTTATAGAAAAATGAATTTAGATATACATGTAATTTTACACAATCAAAAAAAAAATTAAATTAATAATAAGGGATTAAAATTTCAAAAAATATCAAATAAATATAATTTTTCAAACAAAGGTGTTATTTCTTTACTTTGTTGAATACAAAGTGTTGTTATTATATTGCAACATTCCATGAAAACACAATAAGTAAAAGTTTTACTCATAAGATATACTTTATTTGCTATGCAAACCGTCCATGTATTCCAATCAGCTGTTCTGTTGAGTGTTTAATTGAACATCTTTAATTTTATACATTTATATATTTATCTTGAGAGATTTTATTTTTAGAATTCTATCAAGAGTTCATTAAAGAAAATAAATAAATGATTGTCATCTTATTATTTGTGAGTTACAAATGAAGCTCAGTGCTACTTTAAGTCTACGTTGTGTGCAGGTTAGTTCTCAGACATAGATGTAGATTTGTGGCCATGAAACATTTCTTTTCTTATCAATTTTTTTTTCAACTAGAAATGTTGATTTATTCATGAATAATTTTCCGTTTTATTTTGCAGAAAATAATGCCTTGGCAGGAATATTTTATGTTATAACCTTGCAAACAACTTGCTTTTATATACATGTATATACACAATAGTCTCTTATTACCAGTGTTAAGGAGGCACCATCAGATTTAACTTAATTCCGTAGATATGAAATTTTTAAGTGTCAACCATCATTTGGCAAAGAAAAAAATCATTATAGTTTAGTTTTAAAATACCATCACTTTATATCGTTGTAAGAAGCCCCTTTTCTAAAAGAGATCAATATACTGTAGATCACTTAATTTTCGCGAAACCTTATTTTCGCGAGATAGTCATTGACTTTTTATAAGCGAGACAAAATTTTCACGAATTGTGGTCATTGCTCTATATAATCTTAAGGAATTCTATTATACGCGAGAATGAAATTTTCGCGAGCATACTGTCTCGCGTAATTACGCGAAAATAAAGTTCTCGCGAATAAAAAGTGATTTACAGTAGTCGAGAAATGGCCACAACCGCACAGCCTTCTTAAATGTGAATGTATTTACAGATGCATGTTTGATTATTTTCACTTCACCATTACAGTATCTCAGGAGTCTTTCTTTTCTGTAAATGATTAAATAATGGAACATAAGGAATGTATTGAGGCAAGCTTTCTCATAATCAGCTAAATGATTGGTCTTTGGTCACTTGTCTATGTCAGTATGTGTGCCATTTTCTGTTTGTGGAGTTTAAGTTGAAAGTGCTGCTACTTCCCCTCTAAGGTTGCCTTTGCTCAATCTTATGATAGCCTGAAAGAACACATGAAGCTTAATTAATGAACAGTTTTGATCTTAATGTTAATAAAATTACCTGGAACCAATGATAATTTATACTCAACAAAATTTTTTGTTCATTTCAAGTATCTTTTAAAGGTATATATTTAAGGCACTGTTCACTTAAATTTATTCTTTGGCATTTTTTTTTAGAATACACCAGGGTTCATACTAGCATTTGACTTGTCTTAGCGGTTGCTTCATGTTTAATTTACATTGCATATCAGTGTATTTATTCAACCTTAAATTTTGAAGAAAACCAGATGTATTTCACCTGTTTTTAAGATCCTCAATTTTTAAATTGAAATCATCCATCTCATGTTCAAACTCTATCATCTGACTCATGTAATTTCTATGAATTCTGATTCTCTCGACATCGTCTCCATTTCTTTTTTGGCCAATGTTAGGTTCTTTACCCCATCCATTGCTTGGAGGTTCGACATTTTCTGCTTAATTTCTCAACAAGGTGGACATTGTTGAGATTCCGAACTCACAAGAATCAGCAGGTTCCCCTCCTTCTACAACGAGAATGGTAGTCCAGTTCAGTTAAGGTTTTGGTTTACATGTGTATTTCTCAAGAAATGAGGCATTAATAAAGGGAATATTAATTACTCATTTTTTTAGATAATGATTTTCAGCGGGAAAGGGGAGGGCGTAGGTGGGGGACAATAAATGCACATCCCCAGTTGGCATAGATTTAGATTTTTTTTCAATTTATGATGGTGGAGGGTTAGGGAGATGTTGGGTTCAAAATAGGTGACGGAAAGCAAAAGGACTATAAATGACCCAGTTCAGCGTTGTGGCCTAAGGGCCTCTTAATTTAATTACCCTAACCCTGACCTGGATAAAGAACAGCTAGGTATCTGGTCTTTTTGTATTCTTTTTTCTCCATTCACAATGAGATGTTTTTTGTCGGCCAACATGTTTTGCAGTTCATGTTCAGAAAAGACATCATCGAAAAATATTTGAAGGGCATCTCGGGAAAGTCGCACTAGCTTAAGGAAACGCATCAAACGATTTTCATTTTCTGAAAGAAAGCAATATTTTAACCCGTATATAAAAATAAATGATGTCCTTTTTGTCGACTTTATCTATTTTATTTAGAGTAGTTAATCGTAATATATGATTCTAGTATTATGTAAAAAAAAAAATAATGAAATGGCTTGAATAACCTCTAGATTTTAAGTGAGAATTTTGAAAATGGAGGACGACAACTGATTTTCCACTGAATGTGTGGGTCTTCTATTTTTATACCTTCTCTATACACAGACAAGTGTTCCCTCTGGAGACTTGGCCATGGTGTAGAGCTTAAGTAACGTGGCGGTTCATCTTGTATTGTCTGGACTTGATTTGTCTGTTGTGATGTTGAAGACCTAGAATAAACCGGTGGTTCCTCCCCGAACACTATGACCAGGATTTGTATCAAACCGAGAATGTCCGACTGGGGCTGAAAGGTAGATAAAATTTACACGAATCCGTTGATATCAATTTTTTATTGGAGGGAGCAAGTTGTATTGAATAAAAAATTCCAATTTAAAGTTCATAAATGTTTATTAATCATATTTAAGTGCATGATAATTGTTTTGATAAAACGTAGGCAAAAATAAAGATTTTACTATGCTTGAATGCGCACGGGGTATTGTCCTACGGCGCACGGTCAAAAAACCAAGGTTTTATTAAAGACTACACACGTTTAAATTCAAAATAAAAGTTTTAAATAGATAAGATTTGGATTAAAATTATCCTAGTTCAATTCCACAATCAATTTTGTAGTTTTTGTAAAAAATTTTAAGGCATTTGGTTAAATTTTGGCAGTTTCCCGAGCATTCGAAATGGGAAAGTGGTAAACACAACACACGAAAAATGGCGACGTTTTATGACGTTACGGCGCACCGGAGAGCAGTTCCGTTTTAATTCGATGTTGTAATGACACCTTTAAAGATTTGAAATGACCATAGAAGAAAAAAAGATTATAAAAATATCACAATATCTTAAGTATACAAATAAAATAGAAGTTTTCTTAGCGAATACGTTGTATTTCCATTACTGAGCTCTTCAGAATTAGAGGCGCGTTTTGTCGTCTGACAAGGACGGCATGGCGTTGAGGATAAAGCAAATCATGCCAGTCTCAATCCACTTTTAAATGTTAAGTGCATTTGTCATTCTAACTAAAGAATAGAAGAACTAAAAGATATATGTAAGAGAGCGAAAATCCTAACTTTATCGTCCATTAATTAAAAAACGACATTTCCAAGGTATGTGTACTGTCTTTAAATGTACCATTACGATAAATAGATACATACGATCACCAATAGATGTAAATTCATATCCTTGTCATCTCTGCTCTTGATTTAAATAAAGTCCACAACAATAAAATATTTCATATGCATTTTGTTAGGATTTGTTCATCGACTTTCATTAATTGTTTACATATTTATGTTACGTATGCCCCAGAAATCCCGCGAGATTTGTACATTCTCTGATTTCACGAAAGAGCGCACTAAGAACTGTAACTCTTCACTAGTGGAAATAGAACGTATTCTTTATTGATCGAGTCCCTGGGGAGTACAAAACAAACGGGCAAACTCCTAATGTAATAGCAAAAAACGCTCTCACAGTAGACCGCCGATATGAGATTTGTTGAATGATGGTGAGAATATTGTCCGTAACTTACTGATACATCTTCAGAAGATCGCATGAGGGTGCCAATTGGTTCTAAAAATGTGTATCAATGAAATTCCAAAATTTTAGTCGGACTCATCCAACTTCATTTTCAGCAAATATAAAACGTGACGCTTTTTTAGAAACTTTGACGTTATAATCCATGCGCCGTAAGGTGATACAATACATGGCATAAAATCTCATAATTTGTTTATTCATGCATATATTTATCTGAAATTTGTTGTGTATATTACTAGAATATGTACTAAATAATAGTGAAAATTTCAGAACGCAGTGATGTTTATTTTTTACACTATACAACCTGTCCACGATTTTACGGGACAACCCTCGTATAAGTTATTCGAAACAATTATAGCATAGCTTGCGGGGCAATAAGACAAAAAAGACACTTGAACTTGGCAAATCTATAAAGGAATCTTAGACATTTGGTCATTAAGGACATTGGCAAGGTTCCTGGCTTTTGTATAGAATTTTTCAAGAACTCTTGAACAGGTGTAATGGTACTAAACATGTTATATTCTGGTACATTTAACCCACCAAGCCACCCTTCCTTATTAGATTTTGTCAAATCAATGTTTTTACAATTCTCAATGCATTTCCTGTGTAAAATGTTGATAAAAAGGACCTACTTAATTTTTTACCATAAAAAATCTCCAAAATCCAGTCATTTCAGAAAGTTTATATATTATATACATTATTGTATCCTCATTTCCAATTAAATCTAGATATTATGACTGAAAACGCAAATTTAGAAACATGACAAAGATCTACCAATACTGTTCATAATTTTAGAGTTACTTCCCTTAGAATCTAATTCGTATTCATAATGGTAAAGACTGTTTGACTGTTTATGTTAAGTAATTTACCATATTGGAAACAAATTTTCATAAAAATATTGGCATAGATTTGCTTTTATATTTGTTTACAGTTACTAAATTAAATGGTAAATGGTGCCTCCTTCGCACGACCTCAATTAGTTACAGGTTCTCGGCATTTGTCATATCTTGTGATTGTCCTTCCCAGCATGGGTACGGTAAATAACGGTCTGTTGACCACTGTTTACTGTCTGTCCCTGAACACAATGAACAACAAAACTATCACCGTTTTTCTTTCTCGCTGTAGAGATGATTCTATCCGTTGAAGGAAGCACACGTGCTTTTGTTTACCTCGGTAAAACACGTTTTGTTGGTTTTCATTTCATAGAGAATTCTACACGGGGGATCACTCTCAATCACAGTTTTATAAATGAACAAACCCATGATATAAACCTTTTTTCTCCGGATAACCGTGACTTGCCAATGTCCTTAAGAGTCGTCTCACTTATAAGAGTATCAATGAATCTTAACTCATAACATCGATACCCAATCTTTTGTGGGAAGTGAACCCCTGTAGTTGTAATAATTGCTTACGTATCTCCAGTCCCTCAGACATGGTAGATGAACCTGTCCGTTTGAGTCCACATTTTTATTGACCTTTATTGACATTTCACTGGTTGGTTTAAGGACATTGGCAAGTGCTGCTAGAATCCCGAGTTAAGCATGGTTTTGTTTAAGAAATTCGTATAAATATCTTTCTGTATAGTATAGATACTTAATACAAATAAAAAGTGCACCAAAGTACATGTAAATCTTCTTTTTTGCATAACTAACAATTTTCTGCCTGGTCAACATACAGAATTTGTCCAAAATCTTATATATGAAAAGAAGAAAGCACTTGCTGTGGTTTTAACTCGACTTTTAGATATATCGACGACGTATTGTCAATTAATTTCCATTCTTATGTCGATACGATTAACCTTGGTAAGCTTCAGATAAAAGATGCCAAAAAGTCTGACACTTCTCTTTCAAATTAGGATATTTTACTTAAAAAAGACGTTAATGGTAACTTAAAAACTAGGCTCTATGACAAACGTGATGACTTTAAGTTCACAATCGTTAAAGTCCCCTATGCAGTAATATACATTCATCACTTGCATATGGAGTTTATATATATATATATATATATAAAATCCAAATTCAATTGATAAACTCAAACTTTTATCTAAAGCGCTTTCGCCCCATGCGGGCTCATCAGTAGATTTGAAATTGTAAACAAGTTACATTATGACGTCATTCTCGTGACGTTATGTAGGCAACGTTAAACATAATGACTGTGACGTAATAGTAATCACAGTTAAATGAGGTGCACAGATAAAGTTTTACAGTTCATCTGATCAAAGTTAAGCGCCTATTATAAATGTACAATAATGGAGACATTTTATATAAAATGTACATAATAAAATAATTTGATATAAATTCCTTTTAACAGTTCAATTTTGGTTTAAACAGATTTATAAAATATTGTTCTTTGGCTTTCCGTAATTGTTCATTTTCCTCTTTTATTTTGTAAAAAGGAAATATATAAAAATGTCCTTTGCCACAAGAATCAAAGTGTTCACTACATGGCGTGTTTCGTATGGTCGGATCCTTAATCTGTTGTTTGTGCACGCGAACACGGTCGGCTAATTTGGTTCCGGTTTGTCCTATATAATTTTCCTCACATGTAGGACACGTCATACAATATATGAGGTTTTTAGATTTACACGTCATACAAGATTTAACGTCAAACTTCATGCCGTTTTTAAAAATAATGGTTTGTCCGGTTTTTAAAACTTGACAGGTTCCACATCGTGGATCCTCGCACTTAGAAACCATCGGTTTCTCGGGGTTCGATGTAAATTTGGCAGTGGTAAGAATCTTTTTCAAATTGGGAGGTTGACGCCTGCTGTGTAGTATATCCTTTGGTTTAATAAGGTCCCTTAATGTTTCTGATTGTTGAATAATAGGGAAAAATTGTTTGGCAGTTTTAAAGATGTTGTGATTTCTTGGGTTGTGGGTTAGAACAAAAGGGATCTTTTCGTTGTTCTCCTCTTCGTGATGTCTAATAGTACGTAATTCGTTAATGGGTATTTCCTTTGCCTTTTGTATAGCAGCCTCAATTAGTTTTGATGGATATTTTTGTCTAGAAAGAAAAATTCTTAGTTCACACAGTCTTGTATTTCTGCGATCCTCATCAATAACAATAGTACAAATTCGCCTGGCCATATTGAATGGGATGTTTCGTTTAGTATGGGAGGGATGGCATGAGTTGAAAATCAAATATTGATGGGAGTCTGTGCTCTTGTAATAGAGATCCGTTATGATTTTTCTTCCCTCTTTTATAATAAGAATGTCTAAAAATGGCAATTTGTTTTCACTGATTTCCATTGTAAAATGCATACTTTCATGGAGTCGATTTAGAATGCTGTTAAACTGTTGTAGATCTTGTAGAGATTTTGTCCAAAAAATAAAACAGTCATCTAAATAACGTTTCCAGTTTCTTTCAATGTATGTACCAAAATCCTCTCCAAAAAATGTTTTGCATTCTGAAAAAAGTTTTTCCTCCAGAAAACCTAGAACGAGAGTTGCGTAGGTAGGGGCGACTTTTGTCCCCATTGCTGTCCCTTTTGTCTGTAGATAGTACTTGTCATCAAAAAAGAAATGATTATTTTGCAAAACTATTTTAAGTCCTTCGAGGATAAATTCTTTTGAAAATCTCGGCTGGATTACATCTGGGTGCTTGTCAATCCAAAAGGAGATGGCTTCTAGTCCTAAATTGTGGGGAATATTTGTATATAAACTAGTAACATCAAAACTCACTAATTTCGTATTTTCTTCTACACTTTCTGGAATATGGTTGAGAAAATCCATGTCGTCCCGAATAAAACTGGGTACTAATTTGCAGAAAGGTTTTAGTATAATATCTAGCAAATTGCTAAGTCTCTGTGTTGGACAAGAAGGACCAGCTACAATAGGGCGTAGTTTTAAGTCTGTTGGACGTGGCAATTTAATATAAGGTTCACTCATTTCCTGTATTCCGTTTTGAATTTGTTTAGATTTATGAATTTTCGGTAATCCGTAAAAGTTACTAGTTTTTACTTCAAAATTGAGAAGAAAATCTATCTCCTTTTTGGTTAAATTATCGGAAAATTTTGAAGTATATTTTTTCATTGTAGACATCGTCTTCTTGTCTTCCTTCGAAGGTAGTTCCTTGTAAAAGTTTATATCATCTAGTTGTTCTAGGACCATATCTTTGTAGTGTTCTTTGTCCATAATAACAATAGTTCCTCCTTTGTCAGCCTCTTTTATGATAATAGTATCGTCACCAGTAATATTTTTCAGTGCTGTTCTCTCAATTTTTGAGATGTTATCTCGCACATGGATATCGCTGTGATTGTTGTATGCAGATTTTTTCAAACAATTAATGTAATCGTCCAAGTGTTTGTCCCTGTTTGATTTTGGTTTAAAATCACTTTTGTTTCGAACTAAGGATTCGTCATTGTAATCCGAATTCTGGAAGAATTCCCGGAGTCTTAGCTTCCGACAAAATTCTTCTGTGTCTTTGATTACATCTACGTCGTCTTTTTTAGGCGTAGGAGTAAATTTTAGGCCCCTTTTGAGTAGTTCTATTTCATCCGTAGAAAAATTCCTTTGAGATAGATTTATAATTTTGGGGTCGACTTTAGATGTTTTCTCTACAGGTATTGGAAGAGGAATTTTTTCATGCGATGTTTGCGAAAGTGGCCCTTCCCTAAAAAAGAATTACTCCCTTCATATTGCTGGTTCATATTTCTGTTATTAGAAATGTTGTTGCTCATTTTGTTTTGCTGTTTGTTGTTCCAAGGTTTTTTCCACTGAACGTTTTCCTTGTTGATATTTGTTTGTGCTCCGTTATTTCTTTTGGTAAAAGAATTTACACGGTGTTCATTTCGCCCCACGTTCTTGTAGTTTGGTTTATTTGGTCCAGAAAAATTACCTCTGTGTTCTGAACGGAAGTAGAATTCGTTTTGATTAACAGAATCCATGTTAGGTCGTTGACCCTGATGTCTGTTCTTCTTTTGTTTTCGAATTTCTGGACTTTTCATTATGCTTGTCCCGAAATTTTTCTCGTAGTCTTCAAGCCATTCTTGTTTGGATTGTAGTAACTTTTCTGACTTGAGTTTTTCTTGATCGGTTTCTTTTCTTTTTAAAAACGGAATGAAGTTTGACGTTAAATCTTGTATGACGTGTAAATCTAAAAACCTTATATACTGTATGACGTGTCCTACATGTGAGGAAAATTATATAGGACAAACCGGAACCAAATTAGCCGACCGTGTTCGCGTGCACAAACAACAGATTAAGGATCCGACCATACGAAACACGCCATGTAGTGAACACTTTGATTCTTGTGGCAAAGGACATTTTTATATATTTCCTTTTTACAAAATAAAAGAGGAAAATGAACAATTACGGAAAGCCAAAGAACAATATTTTATAAATCTGTTTAAACCAAAATTGAACTGTTAAAAGGAATTTATATCAAATTATTTTATTATGTACATTTTATATAAAATGTCTCCATTATTGTACATTTATAATAGGCGCTTAACTTTGATCAGATGAACTGTAAAACTTTATCTGTGCACCTCATTTAACTGTGATTACTATTACGTCACAGTCATTATGTTTAACGTTGCCTACATAACGTCACGAGAATGACGTCATAATGTAACTTGTTTACAATTTCAAATCTACTGATGAGCCGGCATGGGGCGAAAGCGCTTTAGATAAAAGTTTGAGTTTATCAATTGAATTTGGATTTTATTTTATCCCTATACCAAGGAAAAATAATTTTTTGAATATATATATATATATACAGATATATATAGACAGATTCCGTAGGTCGAGAGTTCAACCCCGGGCTGGGGCGGAAGTGAGTATCCTTGTAAAAGTGAATTTCTCTGTGCTTTCTATATTAATATTCCTTCACTTAGGGCAGTTATATTAGTTTAAGAGTTGTTGTAATTTGTGCTTTATAAATAAAATTAATTTCATCACAACATGTATTGGTAACAATCCTCTAAAAACTAATGTCCAAATAACTGTATCTCACTTCCATTCTCAATGACCGTGTAGTGTAGGACAGCGTTGTGAGAATTCCATCGGCATCGAAAGCAAGTTTTTTAACTTGCCTAGATAGCCGAGCGGTCTAACGCGCTGTTCCTGTACTGCTAGGAGACAGATTCCGTAGGTCGAGAGTTCAACCCCGGGCCGGGGCGGAAGTGAGTATCCTTGTAAAAGTGAATTTCTCTGTGCTTTCTATATTAATATTCCTTCACTTAGGGCAGTTATATTAGTTTAAGAGTTTTTGTAATTTGTGCTTTATATATATATATATATATATATATATATATATATATATATATATATATATATATATATATATATATATTTTATTTATACAAAATTTTATTATGAGCAATTTCTAAGACGAGGTAAATAATTGACAAACAACTTGATGAGGCAGGAATTTCAGCAGTCATTTTTTCCTGTTCTATGGTCGATACAATGACTTTGACAGTAAATAAAGTTTATCATTGGGTCAAATGCTGTTAAAATGCTGACTGACGTTTTTCATTCTAATTGTTGGTCGATTGTATATACACTGAATTGACGACAGATTTTCCGTTGTTTATGGGTCATTACAAGGAGCATACGGCGGGTATGACCAGTCGGCAGGTAATGCTCACTCCTCCATGGCACCTGATACAACCTCTGATGTTTTGGAGGTCCGTTTTATCTCTGTACCTGTTTTGTATTGTTTAATGAACTTTTGGTCTTGAATACTGTTGGTTATGTCCATATATTTACTTTACATGTGTTTTCTGCATATAAAGTGAATGGAAATCTATTGCATTCACAACACTATCACCGAGAAAAATTAACATTTTTGAATTAAAATAACTTTTTAATATATTAATACTAAATTCGGACGTTTATCTGTGAAATTCTTTATCTGTTTTTAATATGTGCTTACTTGTAGTAAATTGTGTCTTATTTATCTCATTCCCTTTGAAATAGGATTAAGACATTCCAATTGACACTCTGTGACTCTGTCAAAATAACTGTTGCTCTATAGGTGTTAATGTCTCGGGATTTGTTAATCCTCTACCAATAACTTTATTTGTACAATTTCTTTATAACCTCTTTCATGTCAATTTTATCAAAGAAACACACCTGTCCATCAATTAACTCAACTAGTGTCAAAAGTCAATTATTGTTTAATCTTAATCTTACAAATATCTATGTGCATTATAATCTCTTCAGTTTGGAGGCCCGACGCTCTACCGACCACATCCAACTCGATTAAGTCTCGTAAGATATTGTTAAAATTCATGTTTGTTATTCACCATCGTCTTTAATAAATTCGGAAACCTGATTTACCAATTCTTGGACTTAATATTGGAAGACCATAAGGAATACGGCACCTTTACCCTTTACGTTTTATTATGGCCCACAGCGCCACTACCTTGTTATACCCGCCAACATTCCTTCTTCCCCGTTTACATTCAACAACGGATTTAGTCCAGGAACAGTTTTACAGCTTATGACCAAAATTTAACTGGTTATAACACCATAACACGGAAAGGGTGCTAAAAGGTATATGATAAACGCCAAGAAATTGACCAGAAGCTGTTAAGTTAACTCTTCCATTAACTTTAGCTTACATGAAGGATAAGAGACAGGTTTTTAAATATACATGTAAATCACATTTGCAGTGAAGGTAGAGAGCTAAAATGTAAATATATATAGGCAATGAATCATTATTTTTTGAAAGATATAGTCTCATAACTACAACGGTATGTGCAAACAGATTGAGTAGCGCGCGTTGATCATTGCTTAAATGTTTCATATACCAATGTAGATTTTGATTTACCAATGGCAGATACATCCTACCCCTGATTTTTATAATTCGAGCACTCATGAATCTTCGCTCTCTTTTATACTCTACAAAAGCAGAAATATTGGTAAATAATTAAATTTCGTAAATTTCGTTGTTGACAATTATCAACGAAATTCAATCTCACACGAAATTTTCTTATGACTATATACATATATAGAACGGGTTACTCTCGAAATAACTAAATTGTAAACCCAAGACACCTTCTTAGATGACGAAACAATGAAGTATCATCCCAAATAACATTTGTGTTTTTATAGTAAAAGGCTTGGAGGAGAGGGTAGGAAAGGGGCATTATAATATTCCTTTTAAAATTTTAACATCTGCTCCTGGTCATTAATTTAGAAAACAAGCTAAAATGCAAGGTTTCGTGTAGAGAAGGGTGTTTTTTTAAGATCTGTGAATTAATTTTTACTTTGCGACGGAGGTTCTGGTATTAGTATGGGGCTTTGTTAATTGCAAAGTAATGCATGGATCCTTTGAAAGCTTGCTCTTTAGATATCTAACTTGTGGACAAAATGCTTTGTTCAAATTATGAAGATAGTTTCTTCCATACTGCCAGGGATTCTGTTTAAAAGGAGGGACCTTTTTGAATTTAAAATGAAAGTACATTAGATGTATTTGTTTTATTATTCTCTATAATATTTTCTCGGTCCACACATTGTTATGAGGTACATGGGTACGTCTTCCCAAATTGTGAATTTTATAGCATCCATCTCATGATCAGTGGTTCTTGTATTACGGCGATTTTACATATAATGTAAAAACCTACAATTCTTTGAAAATGTCAATACGTTTGGTTGCTTCCAAAATACTTTTGTCATTGTACCAACGAAACAAAGAATTCAAATAAGTTCTAACAACTCGTTTTTTCTTTAATTTCTGAAATCTCCATTTCAGTCTGATGTGAATAATGTTTTGAAAATTCGGTACACAATTTCACAAGTTACATAAGATTGACGTTTTTTTTATTTTGTAGATGATTCTGCAATTATAATGTAATCATAATAGAGGCTTAATGTTCAAAAATATGACGTCTAGTTGTAAAAAAGCATGTTCTATTTATAACTTTGCTTAAATGCATGACTTACACTGTTTACAAGAGTAATAAACAGCTAGAATTTCTTTTGTTATATTTAACTCTTTTACTGAACTGTTATGCAACATACACTTAATATTCACGTCATGGAAACATGACGTAACCTTTTCCCAGCAAGCACTTTATAGCGCGTCACAAGTTTCTCTAAAGTTTAGCATAAATCATATTATTACGTAATATTTTAATAACAAAACAATTTTTCTTATTTCATGAGATTCTAACAAGTATAAAATAGAAGGATATTGACATTAAATTGAAGATTAAAATTTAATGTGCTTTTTAAAGTTCGTGAAATATGCGTGATTGCAGGGAAATTACGGTATATGCGTGATGTTGCGTTAGAAATAGGAAATGATATATGCGTTAAAATGCGTGACTGTGGTGAAGGTTGTTAAATTGCACTTCTAAGATCGAGGGTCTATTCAATGACAAAGATTACAGTTGATGACATAAAGTATTCATGATATTAAGTCCCTTAAAAAAAAAAAAAAAAAAAAAAAAAACCAATAGGGACAGAATATACACGGACCACTTAAAAACAGAGGTGTGATCAGGTGCTGTGGAGGAATAAGCATAAGTTCTTGTTTATCCTATATGGCATATTGATTACAATACCTAATTAAGAAAAAAGAAAACCATCAAGGGTCGACAAGTAAAACTCTTTCAATGTAATTGACATAAAAATTATATACTTCTGAAAAAAAAAAAGAATTGGAAATCCAAAAAGGTTTTGTGTCAACATTGGATTCCTTTAAAACATTTCAAAGCCAGAATAGACAGAAATGGAAATTTTTGCTTTAGATTTATTGACATTGACGGGGCTTAGTGTAAATAAAAAAATCAATGGAATTTTTATTGTCTCGTAAAATCTAAATGAGGATTAAATACTGATCTTCTTATTCAGTTGTTTCTTATCTTTAGATTATATGGGTATCAATTTTATTGTAAGTAGTTAGAAAATACTTTTGCTGTATTTATTGTTTTACGACTTATTCGAGAATTTTTCACTCATGAAGACACATTTAAACCTACTCGACACGCAA